TACATGTCAAAGGACACATATTATGTCAAGTAACACTTTTTATGTCAAATGTCATATTTTATGTCATAAATGTCACATAAATGTCAAATTTAACGCCAAATGTTACCTAATATATGTTACATCGAACGTCATGTTTCAGCGATCCTTTAAGTTCTGCATAAACGTGACCTTAAAGAGGGAAAATGACCATAATGGGCCTTATTGTTTTCTCATATAATCTGAACGCCTCAAAAAAACTCCATGTCAAGGTAAATATATGAAATAATACAAGTTTAAACCATAAGCTCTGGACAATTTGGAGATTTTTGGCCTAACTTCAAAGTACTTTGTATACCGGATTATTCAACTCGCTCTACTTTTTGCCAGGTCCAAATAATAAATGGTTTTGAGATTAATAAGAACAGTTGGAAAGAAAGAAGGGAGCAAAGCAAAAAACCACATATTCATAGCAAGCTTTAGTGCGATCAATTGAAGTTTTTTATTCTGTTTTTTACAATATTTGGTCAGTTATTCACGAGTTTCTTTCTTTCTTTTTCTGTTATTTTAAACTTTGGTGTTTTTAATATTTTTCCATTTTCCTACACCTAGTTGTATACTTATATTCCTTTATAGCAGGTTTTTATCGTTTTATGATATTGATGTTGCTTTTCTTTCTTTTTTTTTGGCCAACAATCTTTTAAAATCTGAATTCTGCAAAGATTCTATAAGTTTCCTTATCCCTTTCATAATAGCTTCTTCTATCTTTGAAATGTCTCCTGTTGGTGTTTGAACTAGTTTTTCTATTTGCAGTTTCTCTTGAATTTTTTTTCTAGTTTGAATTTCTATGTGCCAAACTCATACTGTAACTCATTCAGATTTCAATCTTCGCACTTTTTAGAATATATTTTATCCAATTTGTATATAATCTGTATTGTAATGATTATTTCTCAAGTCTGCCATGTACCTACTTCATTACATTTCTTTACTTATTGTTAGTCCCCTAAGGAGCTAAGTTGTCAAAATATTCTATATAATTATAATTTTTTACTTCAGTAAGTGTTGAATCAAGTTTAGAATCAGACAACCAAGATATGTGATCTAAGGTATGTGTCCTAAAAAAATTGAAAGCGTATTCGAGGCTAAGTTGATGGATACACAGATGTGAAGTTGATTTGAATTTTTTAAGTTATGAGTTAACAGTTAAAGGTATATTTTTAATGGAAATCTGATGTAGAATTTTATTCTCTGAGTTTGTGCCATTCAGCTATTTGCCTACGCGGTGAATTGCAGACTTCGTTCCAATGGTGTAGAGCGGAGCCTGTGCATTTTGAACCTCCCAAGTCCAACCTTCCTATAACCTGTAAACAATAAAATAAAAATTAGTTTTAAAATCAGTAGTAAAATTTTAAGGAAAATATCATTTATAGGAGTGTATCATTTATTATGAGAGTGAGAGCCAAATACCAAAACATTGGGAAGTGTGAGTTATCCTACCCATTTTCAAAGGGAGACAAACGCGAATGTACAGAGGAACAACACTACTAAGCATCCCAGTTAAAGTATATACTAGAAAAACGTCTTTTACAAGGAGTGGATTTTGAAAAGGCAGAAGCATCCAAGATCACATATTTACTATCAAGAAACTAATACAAAACGGACGAAACTCCGGCACTGAGTTATACCAAGCCTTTATAGACTTTATAGAAAAGGCATTTGATAGTACTCCAAGGAAGGTGATTGACATATGTTTAAAAAAGAAAGGTGTGAAAATCAAACTTAGGCAAGCCATTATAAGTATATACAGACATACAAGGAGAGGAATTAGAACCAATAATATAGAATCCGGAGAGTTTATAGTAAATGAGGGTCTACATCAAGTAGGAGTGTTAGGCCCATACTGTTTAACATTGTCTTGGATGACATAATTAAAGATACTAGAGCAGAATCATATGTATGTGGTAAAAATAGAAAACAAACGAAGTTGACACTTAATGGAAATACACTTAAACAAGTCGATACTTACAAATAGAAAACAGAGAAACTGAAGCAACTAAAATAAGTTCCAGAATAGAAAGTGCTACTCCGATTTACCACGCAATTAAAAGTACGTTTTTGTCGAAAAAAGAAGTTTCCCAAAAAGCCAAAGTAATCATATACAAGACGGTGTTTGTACCGATTTTAACTTTTAGTAGTGAAAGTTGGTTGTTTACTGATTGAAATCGAAAATACAGAGCATAGAAATGAAGTTTCTTAGAAGAATAATAGGTGTAACCAGGTTAAACAGGATTAGAAATGAAGCAGTCAGAGAACATCTTAAGGTCCAACCAATTATTAAAAAAATTGAAGAGGCCCAACTGAGATGGTATGGACACATGGTTAGAATGAATAAAAAAAGACCAGTTAAAATAGTATGCGAAGCCAGAAGACAAACCAAGAGACCAAGGGACAGGCCGATGAAGACATGGGATGATAATGTAACCTCAATTCTACAGACAAAGAACATCAACAATCAGCAAAGAACAAGCAAGAAACCAAGCAAAGAATAATTTATTAGAAAGGCCTATATATGGATAAATATGTGCTGTATCCACTTTCAATATTGACATATTAAGAGCGGATACAGCACATCTGACTTCCAACTTTATATTCTTAAATCGTATATAAACACCGCTTCAGATCATGGAGACATCTGCCTTCTGTTATTGCTATTGTTATTGGCTTGTCTTTTTCTATTTTTTTGTTTTTTGCTTATTTTCTCTTGTCTATAATGCTCCTCTGGAGTGAGTCTATCCTTTTCTTTATTTAGCACTCCCTTCTTCTTGTCCTTGTTTTTTCCGTCTGTAATATTCTTAAGGCATTTCTTTTCTTTGGTATCCATAACATTTGAACCAGTTGTCTCACCCTCCGCATCTTTATTTTTTGTTATTTCAGGTCTTTTATGTATTTCCATTATCTTTCGTTGGTTCATCTTATCCATTCTCATTTCGCTACTGTCTACATTTGAAGATTTTCACCTCAAAATCTCAACCTTCTTTTCTTACTTGTGCTTTATGACCCACGTTTGACGTTTATTTTACTGTTATGTATTCGGATTGTGTTTGAACTTCTTTTTTGCCTTCCTGGTACTCCCTTTTTTTATCTGAACTACGTCTATCAATTTTTTTGAGTACTCTTTTGTTCTGTTCCCTTTTTTCTTTTGCCTGGAATATTTTTAAAAGCTTTTTTTTTTTGTAGTATTAATAACAAGTGTTCCAATTAACTCTATATATCTCTGTGTGCATTAATTCTCGGTTGTTATCTTTTCGTGCTCATGGCATTAATTTTATGCCTTCGAAAATTTTTCTTCTCAAACCTCTTTATGTTTTTCTTCCTTGTGACATTTGCTCTATGTTTCACATGCGTATATGGCGATTCCGCTGGATTAGGTGATTTATTTAATTCTTTCTTGGGTACTCTCTTTTTCCCGTCTTTGTTTCTCTGTAATATTCTTAAAGCATTTCTTTTCTTATAGAATATTTGAGGAGTTTAATATATAAAGAATTGGAAAGTGTTATTTATACAAAAAATAGTTGTGGCTCCGAAATATTAGTTACTGAACTGATGGACCAGTTCATTAGCAGATGTATTGTTACATGCAAAAGACTATAAAACTTATCGTCAAATTGTAATAAAGCTATTAACACTTAAATCTAAGCACAGTAATAAAAAAAAGAAGACGAAGCCTCAATAAAGGCCAATCAAGTAAAATAGAATCTACCAATGGGTAATGATGATTTGTATGAGTTTGGAGAATAACAAAATACGAAATACAAAGCACGTGGTGTTCGTGTGTATTAAGGTATAAAAAATGCTTATTAAAAGCTTAAAATTTTTATTTTAAAGAAGATCTTTTCGGAATTAAATCATTTCATCATCAGTTTACTAAAAGAGAGAGAGTAAAAATACCAATATTAAAAAAAACAAGTAAGTTAAAATTTAAATATATAAAAAGAACACGTTGGTTTTTTACTACTTACATAAAGTTGTCAAAGAAACATTGTATGGCCACATGAAAACATAGGAAGGAACTCCGTATTAAAAAACTATCCTCATGGTGTTTATGAAGGTAAATGCAATAGACTGTTAATTTGTAGATTACTAAAAACTAAAAATGGGGGCATCTTACATGACCCCCTGTGGTTGGTGAGGTTTTATTGACTTACATTATAAGATTACTAGATTATCAATCGTTAGAAATAGAACAGGGGAGATCATTGGTGATCAGGACCAGATACTAAAAAGATGGGCAGAAAACTTCGAGAAAAGGCTAAATATAAGAGGTGAGACAGGGCTCGACGAATCAGAAATTCAACTCAAGAATATTGACGATGAAAGAGAGAAAGTTAACATCCCAACAGAGGTAGAAGTCATCCAAACCATACAGAAATTGAAAAAAAAAGACAAAGCTTCTGAGGCAGATGTCATTCCTTTAGCACTTTGAAAGCCAGGCAAAAAAACCTGACATACTGTATATGTGGACTGGTAGAACTGATCTGGAAGCAAATAAAGTTGCAGAAGACTGGAATGTAGGTATAATAGTACCTATTCACAATACTATTTACCTATTATGTCTTCACTCTTGTGAAGACATAATAGATAATTATCAGTGTGGGTTTCATAAAGAAGGAACAACGATTGATCAAATATTCCTTCTAAAGCAAGCTCTGGAAAAAACATATGAATATGGCATTAATACACATCATCTGTTTGTTAATTTTAGATGTGCCTATACTAGTGTTGAAAGAATCGTACTGTACAAGGCCATAATAAAATTCAGGATACCAGTATGCTTAGTAAAATTGATAATAAACCTGATATTATTAGTTACCATTATTAGTTATTACCAGCTAGGTCACATAGAGAGAATGAATCAGATGAAGCCGCCAAAATATATTTATAACCAAAAAATAGATGGAGTGAAAGGAGAGGCAGACCCAGAGCACGACTTAAGGATCAGGTGAAAGAAGACTTGAGAATGTTGGGAGTACAAAACTGGACGGCCAAGGCGAACAATAGGAGAGAATGGAGACTTATCCTTGAGCAGGTCAGATCCACCATGGGTTGTGGAGCCAACGATGATGATGAGTGTCTCTCAACCTCTACCTTTGACGATTTATAGTTGGTCAGTGATGCAGCAATTGACAGTCAAGACTTAAGAAAGTAAAAATAAAGTATTTCTTGTCACACTTAATTGAACATTTTTTTTTTTGATAAGCCATAATTTTCATAATTTTAGCATTGATTTTTCCGACTTGTTAATTATTTTTCATTTGGTTGAAAATATTGTTTATGTTAGCTGTATGTAATATGTAAATAATAAAAAATAAGAAATAAAAAGTACTTTACCTCATTTTTGGTTACTCGGTCCCAATCTAAAAGTAAGAACTCTAGACTAACTCCCTCCAAACCTTCTCCAGCTTGTGGAATATCGAATACAAAACTTTCATTGAAAACCGGACTAAGAGTTCTTTTCTTGACGTGTGTCTTCTTTTTGGCAATTCGTTGGCCTGGAATAATACGAAAGTATGTATCATATTAAGCAATTAACAAAGTATAAATTAATATACAGGGTGACAAATATTTTCGTAGATAATACGAAAAATCAGAAAGGCATATTAAAGCATGCAGAAATATTCTTAAACTATCTAATAATTTAAAAATAAAAAACTTTCTAGTATGCCGCTGGGTCAAGTATAAAATATCTCGCCAATTCTCTGTTTATTTTGTGATGTAAAGGAAAAAATTCCAAATTCCAGTTGTAACTGTGACTTTAAATATGGTTTTATTTATTTGTACGTTTGTTCTACAATTTTAAAAACTGGAAATGATTTAAAGTCATTTTACGATAGATGTAAAGACCGCTAGTGACGGGTATCGCCATACAACAAACCATCATACGTGATTGAAAGCTGAGTGACAAAAGGACAGTATTTCGAGATCGAGGAGCGGCAAGGTGATAGTCCAACAAAATATCGACCACGAAAGGGATGTTCTAGGTATTACTTTTGATATAGAGAAAATAGGCGGCTTCTTCTTCTTAAAGTTCCATCTCCTATCGGAAGTTGGATATCATAACGGCTATGGTCACTTTGTTGGCTGCTGCTCTAAAAAGTTGTAGTGAACTACAGTTAAACCATTCTCTAAGGTTCCTCAGCCAGGAGATGCGTCTTCTTCCTATGCTTCTTCTTCCTTGGATCCTTTCTTGCATAATAATTCTCAGCAGCTCATATTTTTTCCTCTGGTTATGTGACCCAAATACTCTAGTTTTCTTCTTTTTTGCTGTTCATAATTTCTAACTCCTTATTTAGACGCCGTAGTACCTCAGCATTGGTAATCCTTTGAAGCCACTGAAAATATGCGGCACGATTCACCAAATAAAAGATAATAAAACGACTGACTGAGTGAGTTTAGAATAAGCCTTAAATAATACACGATGAGATCAAAGTTTAGTGAGTCCAAGTGATGGAGCAGAAACAAGTACATAGGCGCCATCTATCGTACATAGTACAAAATTTATATTTGCTTAAAATGTAAAAAAGAATTGCAAGTCCTTAAAAAGTATTTAATTATTTTATGGTTAGGTCACATGAATTCAAGTTTTCCAAAACGAACTCCCTTGAATATTTCTTACTGAAATAAACTGAGTGTATATTTTAATTTTGCAAAAGCATATTTTCTTTTTATTAAAAATCCCAATGTGTTAATTTGAGAAATACTAAGATCCAACTTACCATTGTATAAAAGATATATTTTTACATAGGGATCTGCAAGGCCTGTCACATCCATCTTGGGAAGATTCCGAGCTTTTAACACCACAACTGTCAGTCTGTTCGCAGCAGGTTGCCAACATAGCGATACCAAAATATCGCCTCGTCCTTGAGAACGAATCTAAAAAAAAGTTTTAAATGCCTATTTTGGTTGACTACACCAGTTAATATTTTTAAATCATTTATAGTTCTATAGGTATTTGTCCTTCTTCTGGTACTGATGAAAACTGGGAACACGACTATGGAAGACGTGTTATGCACGAAAAAAGAACAGAAAAAAACGAAAAGGATATGAAAGGGTTATTTTAGAAAAAAAAAGAAGTAAGAAAAAAATAAATACTTTTTGTAAATCAAATAGTTTTATAAATTTCAATTTAATGCAGATAATCGCAAAGTGAGCTAAAATACAGATATTTTAAAGATTTTTAGGGAGTTATTAAAATTAAATAAGAATTTCGTTTTCTAAATATAATCTCGCTAAGGCAAAAGTCTAAAAAATACATTTCAAATAAAAATATTGGTTAAAGTTCAAGTTTGTTTAAAAAAAATGTTTGATTCCCATTCCTTAGGTGAAAAAAGACTTTCAAACCGAAATTTATGTTCAGAAACATTAATTAATCTTGGAAAACTAGAAATAATTTCAGAATATTAAAAACAGAAATTAAAGAAACTTCAAGAATTTCTGAGCAAATAAGGCTTTTCTGCTATAAATATCATATTGAATTCAATTACCTTTAGACTCCTTGGCTGAATCTCCCTGCATACTGCCATCTGTTGGGTTTCAATCTGTGCAATATCCACTGTATTCAGTGCACAAAATACTTCTCCAATAATATCATCTCGGCTATATCTGTCAAAACTAAGTATCACAAAGTGAAGTGTTATATTCTGTAGCTGGTTAAACGCTAAAAGAAAAAAATTTTGGGCAATTAGCATTTAGTATTATTGTTTTTTTCCTTATTTGTAAATTAATTTAAGATGATTAGAGCCCTGAATAAAGAGTATAAATACAGGTCAATTTAATGTTTTCATTTTTTTTTGTGTTTTTTTTTTTATTTAAATGTGTATCATCATCATCATGGCTTATTCACTCCTGGCGGAGTGTTTGCCGCCCTTTTGGGCTCTCTGATTCATTTATTGCGGAGAATCAGTCCGCTGTTGTTCTTTTTTATTATTATAGCAGCGTGTGTGACTTGGCCCTGTCTACAATTTTCCTCCATTCTTTCCGGTCCTTACAAAACTCCTTCCAATTGTATATTCTCAGCTTCTTTATGTCTCCTAAGACTTGATCTCTCCATCTTGTTTTGGGTCTCCCCTTTGGTCTCTTTGTTGTTGGTCTCCATCCAGTTATTCGCTTTAGCGTAGAGTCTGAGTTAGCTCTTTCTATGTGCCCCAGCCACCTGAGCCTTTGCGTCTTAAACGAACTTGATTATGTCTTCACCCTCGATGACTTCTTTAATTTCTTCATTGGTTAATCTTCTAAATTCGCCTACACTTATCCTCACCGGCCCCATTATTCGTCGAATTATCTTTCTCTCGAAGATTTCTAACCTCATTTCATCTTTTTGTGTTAGGCACATCGTCTCTGCACCATAGGTGATCACTGGCCTGATTGTAGTCTTGTAAATTTTTAATTTGGTTTTCTTACTAATGTGTTTTTCTTTCAGGAATTTTTGGTAGTTCCAGTAGGTTTTATTACCCAGTAGGATGCGATCATTTATTTCATCTGTTCTATCATTTCTGTCATTTACCATCACTCCCAGGTATTTGAAACGGTGTAGTCTTTCAAATGTATATGCACCAAGCTTAATTTCTTTCTCTATGTTCGTTATCTCTCTTGAACATTTGAGGTATTTCGTTTTGCTTTGGTTTATTACTAGCCCTCTCTTCTTTGATTCTTTATCTAGTATTAATATTATGTTCTGCATGGTTTTTAAATCTCTAGTAACTAGTGCAATATCGTCTGCATACGCAATCAGTTGGGCTGAAGGTTCGATAATCGTTCCCATAATTTTGGCTGCTCTTACTGCGCCCTCTATGGCAATGTTAAATAATGTTGTTGACAGGGAGTCTCCCTGTCTGACACCTACCTCCATTTGTACTTCATCTGACGGGCCTTCCTTTGTTAAGATTCGTGCCTTGGATTCCTTCATCGTCATTTTCGTGAGACTTATTAATTTTTCTTGCATGCCTAATTGATTCATATCCTTAATTAGCTCCCCCCTTATTACACTGTCAAAAGCTTGCTTGTAGTCAATAAACAGTATATGTAGATCTATTCCGTGCTCGTAACTTTTTTCGACTATTTGCGTTACAATGTGTATTGCATCTATTGTTGACTTACCTTCTCTGAATCCATGTTGGTATTCACCTATTTTTGTTCTAGTTTCTTTTTCTATTCTTTGTCTGATCAAATTAGTTAATATTTTGTACATTGTATTTAATCACGTAATTCCCCTGTAGTTAGTGCATTTCGTCTTGTCGCCTTTTTTAGTGATTGGTGTTATCAGACCACAATTCCAGTCGTTCGGCATGCTTTCTTCTTCCCATATTCGTTCTATTAGATTGTGGATTCTGTGGGCTAGTTCCTCTCCCCCATTCTTAAAGAACTCATTTATAATATCGTCTGGTCCTGCTGCTTTCCTTGTCTTTAATCTGTTTATAGTCGCCAATAGTTCGCTGTATGAGGGAGGCTCTGATTGTTCTCCATTCCTATTTTCTGTTTGTTCTTCATTTTCTGCATTTTCAGCATCGTCTTTCTTTTTAAACAGTTCTCTATAGTGTGTTTCCCATTCTATTTTTCTAATATTTGCTGGTATCTCTTTTTTCTCTGTGATTGTATGTATTTGTATAGTCTTGCATTGTCATTACTATTGGCTTCGAGTTCCTGCAGTAATTCTTTGATCCATTTATTCTCTTTTTTCTTTTGCTGCATTTGTCTGACTCTTTCTTCTTCTCTTTATAGTGTAGGAGATCTTCTTGTTTCCCTGTGGCCACCCATCTGTGTCTTGCTTTGTCCTTGTCTTTACTAGCTTGCTCGCATTCTTCATCGTACCAATCCTTTCTTTTATTGTTTTCCATTAGTCCTATTGCCTCCTCTGCTGTTGTTAAGATACTATCTTTTATGTCTTCCCATGTTTTATCTATGTTCGATGGTTTTAGGACTAGTAGTTTTTCTTCCAATTTAGTGCAGAATTTTCTGTTTGCATTATCTGTATTTAGTTTCGACCGATTCCACCTCTTTCTTTTCTTTCTGTCGTTTTTATCTTTAAGTATCTTCAATTTCATGTCGCCTATCACCAAAATGTGATCCGAATCAGCATTGGCTCCCCTGTAAGACCTTACATTCTGAAAAATTGTTCTCCATTTTTTTGAGATTAGGATGTGGTCTATTTGGTTTGCATCTGTTGTTCCAGGTATTAGCCACGTTACTTTGTGCTCTTTTTTGTGCTTGAATTGAGTGATAATAATAAAAGTATTGATTGCTGCTGCTAGATTACATATTCTCCTGCCGTTGTTATTCGTATTTTGATGGATTGTTTTTTTTTTCCTGCGATTTCTCTGTTCGTGTCTTCTTTCCCTATCTTTGCGTTGAAGTCTCCTAATAGGATTAGTATGTCGTTCTTTGGTATTTCTTCGTACAATTCTTCAAGTTTATCATAGAATTCATTCTTTTCTTCTTCAGGAGCATTCTCAGTAGGGGCATATATGTTAACAAATGTTAAATTTGCTTGTTTATTTTTCATTCTAATATATGATATTCTTCCATCAACCGCTTTAAAGTTAATAATCTTGTCTCTTACGCTGTTACTAACTAGAAAGGCAGTTCCATTGCGCCCCTCTTTGCTTTCTCCTGCGTAGTACATTGTGTAATTTCTTCTAGCAATCATCCCTTCTCCTGCCCACCTTATTTCTTGTAGCGCTAGTATTCCCATCTTGTATTTTATCATTTCTTTTGCCAACTCTTCCATTTTGCCTGGTCTTAGAAGTGTTTTGATATTCCACGTTCCTATTCTTATTTTTCTATTTTTGTTTCTTGCTTTATTTTGTTTTGTTTTGTTTTTGCGTCTTTTCTTACAAAACAGTTTCATGTCCGTATTCATTGCCAACTCCGTTATACTGTCGCTGTCTTTTGTTATATTTTTTGTTAGTTTTTTGAAGCCATTTTCATCAATTTCCTCTTGGATCTATATTATCAGATATGGGAGATCTGTATCTCCCATATGTATGTGTATGAGTGCGCATATGTACATATATAGTATCCGTATATTTAATATTGTAGCAAACACTATTTATTATATATTGTGGGTGAATGGATCAAGGAATCGAAAGCTAATTAAAAAAAAGTCCTCGAAAGGTTTTCTGGTGGGCGCTCAAAAATGTATAAGGGAGTAACAATTAGTATTCAAATAAGTGTCAGGCAGACTTATAAATTCCTTATGCTGACTGTTATAGGGTCCTTATATTAATGTAATTTATTATCAGACAAAGGAAAAACTACAAGAAAACAATCTCCCTGGTGCTTAATTTATGCTAATGATGTAATTTTGATATGACACACTGAAAATAATTTAGATCAACTACTGTAATAATGCAAACAAGCTGTAATTGATCATTTGATAAGTATTTAAGGAAAGTCGTTAAAATTAAAAGATATTTTGCCTAATGACTAATCAAATTTCGAATAAAATAAAAGCTTGAAAAGCGCAGTCAGTATATGATAAAAAGATGACTCTTAACTGGTCTTTATAGCTGATCTGTATATTTTAATTACAAAAAATTAAATAAATTCTCTCTTAAACCATATTTTTGAAAATATTTTAAAAAACACAAAATAATCTATTGTAAGTATCTCCTGAAAACAACACTTACTCTAAATGGTATCAACCTAGAACAAGTAGAGAGCATTGACTTTCTTGGCCTAAGACTGGACAGTCAGTTAACATGGGCAGAACACATTAAAAAGCTAGTCGTATCCTGCCAATCTAAAATAAATCTCCTTAAAATGCTATCAAACCGATCTTGGGGAGCGGACACCATAAAATTGCTGCATATATACCAATCATTAATCCGAAGTAAACTGGATTATGGTGCAATATGCTATTCAACTGCGAGTAATTATATACTTAAAAAACTAGACATTATACAAAACACATGTTTAAGACTAATTCTGGGTGCTTACCGAACTAGTCCTGTTTCAAGTCTTCAGGTTATCCTAAATGAATCTCCCCTATCAATACGAAGACAACACATTTCTTTAAATTATGCCGCGAGATTATCTTCCAACCCTAATAATATAAACTATCCACTTCTTTATAAAAATATATCCACCTACTCATTGCCATCAACAAATTAAATATCCACCCCTTAAAGAACGTCTAACGAGATACGGTTTTGACATGGAGCAGCTCACACATTCTTACCCTACACAACGAACTATACCTCCCTGGACTATTAATTTTCCCACTATTGATCTATCCCTCACGGCCTATCCAAAGAGTACCACAAATCCCATAATCATTAACAAATTATATCAAGAACGGATATTAGAATACACTGGCCATAACAAGATTTTTACCGATGCGTCAAGAACTGAAAACGGACACGCAGCGGCCTTTATTCTAGGAAAGTATGAATATGCAGTTCGCATCCCTCAATTCTGCAGCATTTTCACGGGAGAAGCAATCGCCATTTTAAAGGCTTTAGACATGTGTAAGAGTCATGCAAGCTCAGATTTTCTTATCATTACTGACTCTTTATCTGTTCTTCAGAGCTTAAGGCAAATATATCCAGTACATGCTATCCTGCAACAAATACAATTAGCACTTTATCACCTACAAAACAGACACGTGAACGTTACATTTCTCTGGGTACCATCACATACAGGTATCGCAGGAAATGAAAAAGTAGATGAATTAGCAAAGAAAGCTGCTACTGACGAGAAAACTGAAATTATGACTACAATTCCATTCAGTGATATCCAGCTCAATATTAAACAGCACTGTGTAAAAAATTGGCAACAAAATGTGGAATTCTACTAAGGCTAACCTTAAAAACGTGAAAACTAGGATTGGCACTAAACTACAATTTGCAGAAAACAGAAGGCAACAAGTGATTATAAACCGACTAAGAATTGGACACACAGCGTTAACTCACCAGCATCTCATAACAAAAGAACTACCACCTGAATGTTCCTATTGTGAATGTCCAATAACTGTTCAACATGTATTGATTGAATGTCCTCTTTATTCCTACGAAAGAACCATCAACAACGTACCAGAAGAAGCAAAGAAACTTAAAGATATTTTAAACAGTAATGTATCTAATACAATCAAATTCCTTAAGGACATACGTTTACTACACAAAATTTAAGTTATATTATATGTATCTCTTTGTAAAATGTAATTTATTATGTGTAATTTAATACGCAATTTGTAATTAGTAAATTTGTATTTGTAATAACAACTGTAAAATCTGTAAAACCCGCTAATAACCTTTAATGGTTGATGTGGAAATTCTAAATAAAAAAAAAAAGTATCTCCTGAAAAAAAAATACTTTGATATTAGGTTACATGACGTTTAGTCAAATGCCCTTAATAACCTAACCTAACCCACAGAATAATAAACAATCAGAATGCCCACTCTCCATGGAAAATTAAGTACGAGCATCTCCTTCGCGCAGACGTTCCGCCATGTTTTAGAGGGAACCAGTGTTGTTTATGTGGTGTACATAGAAAAAATTAACCGGATTAATTGACTTACGGCAATCATAGACATACTATACAATTACATTAACATTGTTAAATATAATAACATAAATATAATATAATTAAACATAAGTATAAACAATTACATAACCTCACAAATCATATGTCTGTATTCATACCATTAAGCAAAAAGACAAAAGAGGGAATGTAAAGGTAGTGGGTGCAAAAATATTGTTAGACAGGAAGTGCGATCTTTAGAGGCCACATTAAACAAGGAAAGAGAGTCTCTCTCCTTGTTTGACATCAAATTTAGTTGGGTTATGTTATTGTTTGTCCCAAATGTCACATGAAATCTTATTTATATTGAAGTTTTTTAACAATTGTGTCGCATTTTATACTATTACCGTTAATAATTAATTAAAACTTTCTTGTCTAAAACTCATTCTGAAAAATGTTATATAGCCACTGTTAATAAGTGTCCGAAAATTTAAATTTGGCGCATTTGCATTTCCGGATATGTCCGCCATCAGAGGCCACTTTTTTGGTCTCCCTTTCATAAGGATTAGATTCCCACTTTCGTCTTTTTGCTCGATGGTTCATACACACAAAGGCGGCTTCAAAGGCGGCATCTGAGAGTGGACATTCTGATTGTTTATTATTCTGTGCTTGATTTTTTAGATGATTTGTCTTCGTGATCTGTCTGTGTGGTTGATACGACACTTAAAGAAATCTTATATCAAATTTTAAAAAAACTTTTAAACTTTAAAAAATAGAAAATGTTTTGTATCGACTAAAAGCCATGTTTCACTCAAAATTTACTTTATCAAATCAATAATTTAATTTACAAAAGTGTCGTTTATGGACTTTACTAAGAAATTCTGATATAATCATTGTATTTTTGAGCTACCTACACTAATACCCACGTAATCATTCCCAGCCAAATTAGTTTTAATATATTCTTTACCTGAACCGAAAGAAAGTTGAAAGTAACTTGAGAAATAATTTCCAATTACGTTGTCAAGACGCGAAACAGACTTTAAAAGCGCTAGTTTTTCATTCCGCATTTTCGTTCTTAAATATTCATTTAAGTCCCTTTAGACCGCAAAAACCAAAATCACAAATTTTCCACATTCCCACATAATTTTCCCCCAGGGACTCGAAAGAAAGGGGCGTACAACGAACAGAAATAAAGAATACACGTACCTATGCCATAAAAAGTGAAATCTTCGTCATAAACGGGGTTTCTTGTGTTCCTTAGCACGCGGGTTTTCACTTTATGCTGCTTATCGGGAAGAAGCTGGAGCTTGACGTAGGGATCGCTCGAACCCAAACTGCTATCCTTAGCCGGCAAATCGCGACAGCGAACAACCGAGACTATTAGGGCGTTTTTGTCGGTTTTATATCTGAAAAAAAAAAACATGAACATGAAAATACAAGACATATTGTTATAGACAAAGAAACATTTCCAAGCTACACCGAAAAACATAATTTTATTTCATTATTTCATATTTTTGAAAGAGAATTTCAACTATCATAATCCTTAATGATATAGATTAGTTGGGTTCAATTAGGATAAAAATAAAAAACGTTAATTTAACGTGTTTTAAACTTAAGTTAATACCCATTCATCAAGAAGCAGATGATCCGTGAGTCTGTAAAACCAATTTTATTATCATATTGTCAAAGTGGCCAATAAAGAAATATATTCCCTTATGCACCGGTAATAATCAAATTCACCATTTCTGAGAATCGATAATTGACACTATTCCTTGATAGTCCTTGATCCTAACTGCCTTTGAAAAGTTAGAAAGCAACATTTTAAATGACTAATTTTAATATTTGTTTGTCTGCGGCGTAATGAATCAAAGTCATTGACTATAACTATTAGGCAGTACTGCAGGGGGGTTGTTAACGTGCTTGTGTTAGACCAGACTATAATCTTTTACTAAGACGTTTCAAACTCCACATGAAAAAAAGTTTAGAAAAGAAAAGCACAAAAACGTCCGAACATCCAGAAGTTGCAAGATAAAACCACAAGAGACGAAGTCAAAGAGAAAATCAACAACAAAATAAAGAGCTTGGTAATCTCAGATATTAATCAAGACAACATAAGTGTGGATGATATGTGGAATTAAATCAAAAATATATGTAATTCAGTGGTAGATAATAAACATCCCAAACAACACTGTGATCAAAAGTATGAATAAAGATCTAGAAATTATGCGTATTGTAAAAATCAGAAAGATGACTTACTTAGGGCATGAGATGCGCAATGAGAAGTATCAACTAATTTAACTAATTTTACAAGGTAAGGTAGAGGACAAAAGATCTCAAGCGCGCAGAAGGACATAGTGGTTAAAAAACATCAGACAGTGGGCAGGAATGACTACCATACATCTATTAAGAGCAGCTGTCAACAAAGTTGTATGAACCAACGTGATTGCCAACGCCTACAGAAGATAAGCACCAAAATAAGAAAGAAGAAGTTGTGACTCTGCCTTAGGTCGCACAAAAAAATACTGGAAGAATGGTATATCTGGTAACGTAACAAATTTTTATTTTCCATATTTTAAAACACGTATATTTCTGTTTTTATAATTTGGACCATCCATTTTAAGAGATCATTTAGGCGTTGTCATTGCTCCGTTTTGTCTATATACACTTAAAAAGGTAACTATTAAAAAAAATCTTCTTGAAAAATACTCTCATTAACCGATGATTAAGAATGGACCAGAATTAGGGACGACCACAGGAAGACTTTGCGTTTGCGTAAGACTAAAAACGGCCAAGCAGCATCAAAACTAAAACCTCTAAAATTGTCTTAAAAACTTTCTTTCCTATTACCATACCTAACCGATGAGGAAAAATGACGATCAACCCTATCGCCTATCGCCCATGTAATCAAGAACGATGAAACGCAGCTTGAAGCACTATCTGATTCAAGTCGGCTAGACAATGCAAGCGATGTACCAAGTCCACAGTCCATAAAATCAGCCGCATCATTACGAACTATCGGTAGAAAATCGAGTTTCGCAGCTTCACAACGTTCTACAGCAATACTTAACAAGAACGGAACAAAACAGAAACAGATTGATCCTCTACCTGAATTTTGCTAAATGGTCACCGGCTAAATAACATCAGAGATGCAGATGACACCTTAGTATTTGCAGACAACTTAGAACACCTACAAGTTCTTATGAACAAAATCACGTATTACAGTCAACAATATGGACTCAATATAAACGTTAAGAAGACAAAGCTTGTAATAATTAGCAAGAAAAAGATAACAGAAGGTCAACTCTACGTGAACCAATTTCTTGTAGAAAGAGCGACGCACTACCGAAATGATGACGGCACCATAATAAATGACATAATAAACATCCAAAAGATTAAAGCACGTGTCGGAAAAGCTACATCCACCTTCACTCGGATGGGGGTCTTCTTCAAGATTCACAACCTCTCTCTGGATACAAAAGTAAGAATGCTGCGATACTAGACGATATGTGCAAAAACTGGAAGCGTTTGAGATGAGGCTATGTCGGAAAATACTAAGATCGCGTAGACTGACAGAGTCACAAATGAGAAGGTCCTCAGAAGAATGAATAAGAACCGAGAGGTACTGATCATCATCAAATCTCGTAAGTTACAATTCTTTGGACATATTATGCGAAATAAATCCAGATATACTCTCGTTTAAGCCATCCTGTAAGGAAAAATATTTAAAAAACGAAGTCCAGGAAGAAGATGAACATCTTGGTTGAAGAACCTCAGAATCGGGTTCAATACAACATTTATGCAGCTTTTCCGCGCTGCGGCAGATAAATAAGGATTGTCATGATGATCGCCACATTCGTAACGGATAGGCATATGGAAAAGAGAGAAAAACTGAAAATGTAGAAGCTACATTCTCAAAAGACAGTAGAATATTATTACAAAATAAGTTCTGAATTTTAACATGCTATGGAAAAGAAGAGGAACCAAGACATAATACAGAATATAGGAGAAGTTGAATTGTACGTAAAAAAATTATAGTAGAAAAATTAACCTAAGACGTCACTTTGCTGCACTACTCTACAACGGAGCTCTCAGTGTCACTACAAATGCTAAAATGAAAACAACAAAATATCAATATGCTCCACGAAGAGTGTCATAATAGAAAATAAATTTAAGTTTGAATATTAACAAATCCTTTAAGTGCATTAAGTAAGCGTTAGTTCTTACCTCAATTTAAAAATCAGCTGTCCCAAATACGCTGCATTCTGCTGCAAGTTCTTCTCGTTCACTTCGATCTCTTCCTTGGTTGGTTGCTGCACTTTCTCGTTCTCAGTGTAGACAGTAGCTACGTCATTCTTCACTATTGGTTCATGCACTGGCTTAGACTCCATTTGGTGGGGATTGTTGATTACACCGCTCTCCAAAGGGCCTACTACACTTCCAGTAGGACTTGGAGTATGCGGTGTGGACATCTGTAAGTAAAAGAAATTTGATGTTAGTCGAAAATAGTACTCCTAGCTTATTTTTGAAAGTTGGGGAACACAAAATAAACCTTTGTCTACTGGGGAACTTGGTTGATATTAAAATGGTAAAAATAGATAAAATGGGTTATAATATAGAGACCACAATCTAGAGACATTCTAAACTAAACCAAGAATGAAGAATACAGAAAGGTCATTACATAATAGGATAAAAGAAAGAAGAGAGCAGCTATGTAAACAAAAATTTGGAAAGGTTAAAAAATCAAAAAGGGAATAAATAATTTGCCAAAGAATATAGACATTGTGATACTAGAAAGGTAGAAACATAAGATACTGGATCAATGCTTACGAATTAAACTAATAGTGGAAGAATACCAAGCAGGCTTTAAACACAACCTATCAGTAAAAGACCAATTCTTTGGGCTAACTGAAATACAAGCAAATTGATATGAGTATCAAGTAGGGTTATAGAGTGTTTAAAAATACATGCATGTTTAAAGAACTGATAATACGTGACAAGTTGATTATCTTAATAAAAAATACATTTAATAGTACAAACAATAAAATAGTTGAAATAGATGAAACATGGAATAAATTTAAAATAAAATAAAAATGAATCAAGTCCAAGTTAAAGCATTGCCAAGTTCACTTTCTTTGTTCTGAAGCTATTGTCGTGTGGCATTTTAAAATAATTACTATTTAAATGGGAATAAGCCACAATTAAAGGTTAAAGTACGTTTATTGACGTTTCAATTTCCACTTTGTAAATCGTTATCAAAATACAAACATTAATTGTGTTAATTAATGTTGTGAATGTTAAGATACCTTCTATATCTGTTGCAAACGAACTTTTCAAAACTGGCAAAACATCGGAAAAACCAATTACTATTTAACTGGGAATAAGCCACAATTAAAGATAAAAATACGTTTATTGACGTTTCAATTTCCACTTAGGAAATCTTTCTCAAAATACAAACATTAGTAAATTTTTCAATAATGTACAAAGAAAACTTTTTCCGAAAAAAAAATTTTTTTAAGTTGCTTTCATTCACACCACATACTCCATAAATCCACAAAAATGTTATTTTGCATGTGCCACACTGGCTTCTACCCAAAATAAAATACATCTCAACTGATTTCATATTCTACGATAGCATTAGTATGCTTGGCAGCGGTACAAAAAGCAGGGATTTTAGAATAGCCATTAAGGGTGGAATATCTGGAGGAAAAGGAAACCGATGATGAATTGTTTCGAGATGACAATATGATAGATTGTTGGCTTTATTAAAGGTTGTTGATTCTATTGAAAGCCAAAACAATTAATTCATTATGTAGGACAACGGTTCCGGTTTATTGGTGTTGGAGTAAGTGTCTTCAATAAATGAAAATTTACTCTTTATTGCTGAATAAGTGTATTTAATTGATGTAATTATGCCGAGAACATAACACATAAAGAGCCTATATTTTCCATTAATCGTACCAAAAACTTAATAGCTTCTATATTAAAAAACTTTAACATCGAAGTGAAAACTTGTTGTAATTGGTATAATATCTGATTAAAAAATTAAATTAAACATCCAAATGGATTATAATAGGTGGATTTTTGTTCAGATCCAACCTTTTCTTACTTATTACGAAGGTGGCAATTACGAAGCCTATAATTCGGCACAGATATCTATAATATGACTTATTTTATTTCAATATAATTCTAATAGAGGGCGGCTACAGTCCCTATATAAGATGATTTATATGTATTTGAATAATTTGGAATCTAAACAGGTTTTGTTGGTCTACTTGAAGTAATGGCTGGTGAATGGATCCTTTTGTACTTCTTAGGTATTTGTTTCTTTGTTCTAATATTGCTATTGTGTTGAAAAAAACTTCATGTAGCTGTTGGTATTTACTAACTAACATTATCAAAAGTTCATTTAAGAATAAATTCTAATTATTTCTGCATGTGCTAATATTTGCTATGGTCTTATAAAAGGCGTACGCAAATGCCACCAGTAAGTTTTACCGGTTACAAAAGTGGATTAAATAGATTAGAATTTATGACAAGATTTTAAACAATGAATTCTTTTCAGATGAGGTTCCTACAATTGTATTCTACGGGAAAGGGAAATCTGAAGTTGATGTGACCCTTGTCCAAGCAGAAAAAGTATTAGCTGCCTTGAATTACGACTGTTCTGATATATGATGGAGATCCAGATTATGAGGAGGCTGATATACCAACATCAGGTGAGGATGTAGTAGCATTAGAAAAAGAAGAATACTCAAAATACTAAAAAAGTGGAAAAACAAAAAACTATCTGGAAGACTTACAAAGTTGTACCTCCAAATGGTATGTTCGATCGATTAAGTGAAAGTAATTTTGGTTATGATAAAAGTGATGGTTCAGCAGACTATTCACCATTTGATTATTTTTAGCGCTATTTTCCACCCGAAATATTCAAGGAGTTATCTGAAAGATAAGAGAGAATAGACATGAGCCAGAAATCTTTCTATTGTTCTGAAGCTATTTTCTTGTGGCATTGTAAATTAATTACTATTTACAAATCACAATATTAATGTAAAAAAGGAATAATTAAATCCTTATACAATAGAGCCAAAATTACTTGTTCTAACGAAAATTCGTTCTTGGAGGAGAAACATTTGTTAACATCTGTTTTATTAAAAAATGATTATCCTTTATCGTTTATAAATAAGGAATTTTTAACAATCGATCGATTAGAACAGAACAACTTAGAACGAGATCCTACAGCATACACAAGGAATAATATGAGGAAAATAACAATACCGTACATAAAAGGATTATCAGAAAAACTTAAAAGGATAAGAAACAAATTCAACATTTCAACAACATTCAAAACAACAAACACGTTGAGATCTATTTTGTCCAAAACCAAACCTAACAATGAACAGGAAAGGACAAAGAATTGCATTTATAAAATACCTTGTGAATGCGATCAGTTTTATTTAGGTGAATCATCAAGGCCATTAAATGTTAGAATAAGTGAACATCAATCTTATATTAAAAATTGAGAATTTGATAGATCTCAAATATGTAAACACGCATGGGATAATGAACATAGGGTTCAATGGAATAATTCAAATATAGTCCTAAAAGAAACGGATGGTAAAAAAAGAAAAATCAAAGAAGCTGCTCTAATTATGCTAAATGAGGCCAATTGTGTCGCAAATTCCTCAGAAGAATGTAGTAGGATCTGGTTACCAATATTGAAAGAGGAAGTTATTAATAAGAAAATACCAGTATTAGTAAGTCAGTAACATATAGAGGATACATCATTTATGTTTTTTAAATAACGTAACATATAAAATCAGAATTTTGATGTTTGTTGAAGGTAAACTAAATTCACGAACAAATACTTATAACGTCGGGATAGTATTGTGAGGTTTTTTTCCTGGTTTTTCCCTCATAATTTACTATGGAATCACTAACAGGAGAATTTTACTGTCATCATGTCATGTGTTTGTCTTTTTAAAGACGAATTACATGCTATGATTTTTTCTGACGGATATTCTCAATTTAAAGTTGATTTCATGTAATCGAATGAACTATCTTATAAGTAAAATCGTCCCAGGAGCGCAACTCAACAATATTGACAATATCATTTTTAAAGTCAGTAAATTAAACAGTAAATTAAACAAAATTTGTTTAATTTACTGTTTGTATTTTGAGAACGATTTCCGAATTGGAAATTGAAACGTCAATAAACGTATTTTTATCTTTAATTGTGGCTTATTCCCAGTTATAAATAGTAATTAAGACGTCTTTCTATTTCGTTAAATAGTTTTGAATAAATGTATACAATAGGTTTACTAAAATATTTATAATTTACTGCTTATCCCAATGCTAGCAAGATTTACCAATTAAGTTGACAGTTATAAAAAAAATTTTAACATATTGTTGAACATCAACGTTTGGATTATTTTTCTACAATAATTAATATAACAAGACAAAAAGTATTTTGTGTGATGAAATGTTAAATTTATTAACCACACTAATGTAGAATATATAATCAAATAAACTTACTCCAGGTGGTGTCTTCGATGGTCCAGTTGGACTGGGACTCTTCTTCAAATAGTGCGTTCCACCGGCAGATCCAGCTGGACTCTTAACAGCTGTAGGTCTTCTGTGGGTATGGAAAGCTAAGGGCTGATCTGGTCCATGTCGTTTACCCGAATTCTGCACTCTTCGTTTGTAGCAGTACCACGTAACAGCTAGCATCATTAGTCCGAAAACGAGACCTCCAAGGCATAGTCCGATGATGGTTGTGTAGGCAACTGTAACAGAGATACAATTTTTTACAATCAAGAAACCATTTGTTTATTAAAAGAAAACGTTATGATAGGATGAAACAATATTTTAATTTAACATAATCTAATACATTTCTATCCTAGTTATTCCCATAGACATATAATTCAAGGTAGATTGATCGTTAAGAAGAAAAATTTAGGATTGAATGTGTAATGTGAATGTGTAAATCTAGCTTTGTTCCCTCTGTCTATCCTTATGTTATATAGTTACCTTCTAACCGTTGCCTGTCTTGTGTTGTAATAAAGTCGCTATGAAAGGCACCTTAGCGTGAAAAGTATCCCTATGTAATCCCTTGTGGGTCCTAAATATTGTTGGCTAGGGCATTGAATGGAACGAATGAATGTATGTTTTTTTATTAAGCTACTGATTCTTGTGATACTGATGTTTACACTATATTTTTAATTTACCTCTATGCGAAGTACTATTTTTTTAACAAATGCAATAGGTCAATACATCATTATCAAATTTAAGTAGTCAAATACATTATCGTGGCTGAATGGATCAAGTATCCAAAGCCATTAATTAAATAAAAAAAAATAGATTGATCGTTACAATATCAGCCCGTTTCCTCAGTGCATCAGAGAAAACTAGCACGTTAATCGGCCACGTGACCTAAATGACCAATGAGCAGGTCACGTGGTCGATAAACCCGGCACATTAAAAAGAGTTTGCTTTGCGTCAGTTTTCTCTGCCACACTGTGTCTTCTATTATATGTCTGTAGTTATTGTTTTGTTTGCATTCTTTTGTTATATAAACAGTTTTGCTTGTTCATTAGCAAGTTGTTGTCTCTATGAAAGATTATCACTAACTAACTCTCTATGAAAGAAAAAACTAACTTTTGACGTATGAGTCTGCGGACTGCGTCTTCATTATCTAGCATTTCTATCACTGTTTATATGGTTATGTTGTCTTTATTTCTCATCCTTGACAATTTTCTTTATTCCTTCTTTATTTGTGTCCATGTAGAGTTCTCAATGTAGATCTTCTTCTTCTTCTTCTTCTTCTTTTTTATAAGCAAAATGCTTGTTCAATGTCGGTTAATGCCTCTATTGGAGGTTATCACTCCATCTTTTGCGTGGTCGCCCGATACTTCTTCTACCTTTTGGTGATTTGTCCATTGCTATTCTGACTAATCGGGTCTCTTCCATTCTGTTTATGTGTTCGTTCCATTCCTTTTTTCTGTTCAGTGTCCACTCATTTATTTTTGGTATATTGCATTTTCTTCTGATCTCTTCACTCCTCATTCGATCCCTCAGTGTGTTTCCTGTAATTCTCCTCAGTAAACGCATCTCCGCTGTTTCTAGTAGTTGCTGAGTTTTGGAGGTATTCGGTCTTGTCTCTGAAGTGTATGTCATTATTGGTCTTATTGTTGCTTTGTAGATTCTTGATTTCACGTTGGTATTAATGTGGGGATTGCGCCATATCATGTTATTAAGACAACCTGCTATTTTATTAGCCTTTTGTACTTGATTTTTCACTTCCTTCTCCACATCTCCGTAGCTAGACAGTGTAATTCCTAGGTGATTTGTCTCCATTACTTGCTCAATGCTGATACCGTCGATTTCCAGTTTATATCTAATTGGTTCTTTACTGATTACAATTGTTTTAGTTTTCTGTGTAGAGATCACCATATTAACGTCCTTTGCCCTTGTGTTGAATCTATGGATTTCTTTGTTCCCCATTTTGTATCCTCTTCCTTTATTAATAGTATTGATGATTTCATCCAGGATTAGATTGAATAGCGTTGGACTAAGCGAGTCTCCTTGTTTTATTCCATTGCCCATATCTATCGGATCTGTAAGCTGGTCATCTATTCTGACTTCCATATTGTTGTTCTGGTAAATGTTCTCTATTGTTTGTATAACATTTAGTGGAATTTCTCTATAGTAAATAAGGTGAATTACATCTTTAAGCTTTACTTTATCGAACGCTTTCTTCAGGTCTATTAAACATATGAATGCTGGTCTGTTATACTCTAGTGCTTTCTCGGTAATCTGTTTTATGATGAATACTGCATCTGTGCACGATCTTCCTGTGCGAAAACCCTGCTGTTCATCCGCTAAGGTAATTCTCTGATTTATTTGGCCTTGCAATATTTTGGTTGTAAGCTTCAAAGTGGTGTTTAATAAGTTGATACCTCTGTAGTTTTCAGGTTGTTTTTTATCTCCTTTTTGTATAGTAGGATAAGCTCGCTTTTCTTCCACTCTTCAGGTATTTTATTATGTTTGATGATTTTGTTAATTAGTGCTGTTAGCTGTTCTGTTAATGCTTCTCTACCATATTTCAATAATTCATTTGGAATTCCATCTTTACCTGCAGCTTTTCTGTTCTTCAGTTTTTCTAAAGTTTGTTTTACTTCTTGTACGGTTATCTCGACTTCCTCGTTTGTAATGATTTCTGGTGTCTCTGGTTCTAACATCATTTGCTGTTCATCATTAGAAAGCTTCTTTAGGTATTCAATCCATGTGTCGTTATCTATGTGTTTCGGTTCGATTAAGTCTTTCATCTCTAATCTTTGGCCTCTTATGAAACGCCGTATTTCCTTTTGTAGACCGTAAAAGTCGTGTTCCATTTTTTTTTTTGAGAAGCGTTCCCAGTGTTCGTTTTTAATTTTTCTTACTAGTGCTATTGTTTCGTTTCTTATCTTTTTGTAATTATTGTATTCTTGTGGTGTTTTGTTAGACATGTATCTTAAGTAAGCTTTCTTTTTTTCTTTGCATTTTTCTTTCACTTCTGCGCAGAACCACGGAGTTTTCCGCTTTTGGAAATATTTATTTTTAAGAATTTTCCTTTCTCCTACAGCTTCTTTTGCTGAATATAGGATGCTTGCTTTAATTTTCGCCCAGCTTTCTTCGATTCCATCACTTTCTACGATGTGCACGTTGTCGAGTTTATCTTTGACTCTCTTTTGGCTCTTCTTTTTTATTTTTATTGTTTTTATTGTTACATATGCGTGTCGTCATTCTGATTTTTCCAAGTATAAGCTTATGGTCGCTTCCTATTTCTGCAGATGTTAGTGCTCTTATGTCCAATACTTGAGAGGGATGTATTACCCTGTTCGTCAGGATGTAGTCTATCATTGACCTTTGACCTCTTGTATTTTCGAATGTGTATTTGTATTGTTCCTTATAAGGGAAAAAAGTGTTGTTGATGCGTAGTTCATTCGTGCTACATAGGTCCGTGAGGAGATCTCCATTTTCATTTCTGATGTCTTCGTTATGACGCTGTTTTATCCCTGGTACGATGTCGTTGCCAACACAGGCATTAAAGTCGTCCATAACGATCATAAATTTATTTTTAGGGACTTCATTTATCGTGTTTTGGAGGTGTTCGAAGAAGCTTTCTCTTGTGTTTGCGTTTCTGTTGTAGATCTTTGTTGTGGATATACTGCAGAGCGTTGACTACAATAATTTTTTGGAAAATAATAGACTTCTGTAGCGGGTAGAGTTCCTTTATCGTGTTCTCTATCCTCACCATCGTTGTTTTCGACTTAATTGTTATTTTCCATGTCGTGGTATAGGAATATATTCTTTAATTATAAAGCTTTAAAAACAATTAGGTCAATTTTAAAACATTGCGAGCACGCGCAAGCACTAATAGAAGTTTTAAAGTTTTAGAAGCTTGTATATTAAATTTAATAGACAAGTCTATGAAAAAGATTCTTGACCCATATAAAGACTCCAACGAAAGAGTCGAAAACAACGCTAGTCAGTCTTCTTCTTCCTCTTTATAAGCAATTCTGCTTGCTTATTGTCGGATTAATACCTTTATGGAAGGTTGTCACTTTCTGGTGACCTTTCTTTTGCTATTTTGACGACTTGGATATTCTCCATTCTCCATTTCTCCATTCTATGGGGTTCTTTGCTTATTACTATTGTTTTAGTTTTCTAAGGTGAGATTGTCATATCAAATTTTTTTGTTCTTATGTTTAATCTGTGGACCAGTCTTTGCAGACTATCTCCATCTTGGGCTATTAATATTACGTCGTCAACGTAATATTAATAGCCCATTTTCATTTCTTTGTTAACCATTTTGTATCCTCTTCCTTTGTCAATACCCGACATAGGCACAACGCAAAGGCTACTGAAGATGGCAAAGATGAGAGTACGAAGAAAAATTACAGGAAATACTAAGAGATCAAAAGAGAAGGAAGACATTAGAATTAGAAAGATATTAGAAAGAATTAGATTAGAAAATGTACTACACAGTGTGTAAATGAATGGATACAAAATAGAAAAAAGAATGGAATAACGCCATAAGCAGAATGGAGGAGACCCGTATCCTCAAAATAGCAAGAAGTATCCGACGACTGCGCAAAAGATGGAGTGACAACCATCCATAGAGGTATAAATCCACCAAATAACAAGCATAATTGCTTATAAAGAGGAAGCAAATAAAGAAGAAATAGAAAAGATGCATCGTTTGTGAGAAAAAATTACCGTCTGTGAAGAGGAGCAGTTTTTAATGATTAAAAGTAATTATTCTCTTATTTTGATCTCTTTTACACAAGACTTAAGATAAAACTCCAATACTGATAGTAGGTAATATATTTTTCCAACTTAGAAATGTCCACTATATTTTATTTAAAAAATTCTGTACAAAAATTTGTATATCTCCGACAATATAAGTGCTTTGTATTGTACCTTCAGGATACGATAAAAACTACATACAATTTTAAATAGCTTGGGGTATTGACCCGAGCCTCATGAATAGAATGGACTACGCTTTTTAAAAATCAATAGTTTAAAATTGTACTTTACATGTTTTAAAATGAACTAAAAGTAAAATTTTCATATATCGCAAGAGTTTTATCGGTTTTATATGAACAAAAATATCCTTTTTCTTTTCCAAAATTGTCGCGTTGTTTAATAGTACAATTATCATATTATTCAAATTACATTAGAATAGAAAACGAAAACAAGCGTAATGATATTGATATTTGAAAAAGGCGATTAAAAAAATAGC